TTTGTTTGTTTGTTTGTTTGTTGAGTTAGGGTCTCACTCTGTAGTTGAGACTGACCTGGAACTCACTTTGTAGCCGAGGCTGGTATTAAAATCACAGAGATCCTCCTGTCTCAGTCTCCCAAGGGCTGGGATTACAGGCATGTGCCACCATGCCCGGCTACATGATATATCTTGATTCTTATTTTTCCCATTCCCCCTACCCTCCCTTCAATCCTTCCACTCGCCCATCTATATACATAAGCTTTGCTTCCATTTTTTCCTTCTTACTTTCATTTTCTTCTTTCCTTTCCTCTGCCCCCTCAGTTCCCCTTTCCCTTTAAACATTTTCTTACTATTTCACAGTATCTTTGATGCATTTTGTTCCTCCTTTATACCTTCAGTTTCTCATGCCAGAGAAGTGATTCCATAGTTACACCTATGTTGACCAGCTGTGAAGATCTTACTTCTGGCTTTTTATACAGAAGCCAACAACATTTGAATGCATTCTCAAATCTCGACTTCAGAAAGAGAAGCACTTCAGTAATATGGCTCCCATGGCAGGGACCCACTTGGGCCGGAAGTTCTCACTCTGCATCACATTAAAAGGCAGAGAGATTAAAAGGCTGGGGATTTAGCTCAGTGGTTCCGTCGCTTGCCTTGCAAGCCCGAGGACCAGAGTTCGATCCCCGATACCAAAAAACCAAAACAAAAAAAATACTCCAAAAATAAAATAAAAATAAAAGGCAGAGAAAAAGATGAAAGAAAGAAGAGAGAAGGGAGAGAGGGAGAAAAGGAAGACAGGAGGAAAATAAATAAAAGGGAAAGTTCTCATTCTCCTCTTTGTAAAGTTAACCCTAAATGATTTGCTAAATGTGAGATATATGTGGTAAAATTATTTACTTACCTTTTGTTACAATTTTGATGATCAAATATGCTTAAATCTCATCGTTAAATGTGATACAATCTACAGTGATATTGTTTGGATCATCCTTTGCTTACAGTTCTGGCCTACTCTGTTTTTTTTAAAAGATGATATTTTAAAGGCATTATTAATGTTAGGCCCAAAATATCTAGGCTGATTTATCTCAGCAATGAACATTGATCCATTAATTTTAAGAGAGAATGTTTTAATAGTAAGAAAAAATAACATAAGTAGAAAAAAACTAGGTAGAAGAGAGAGAAAGGGCTTGCTTTTTAAAACCGTCTATTTGCTCATGGATTTATTAGCTTCACCAAATTTTCTACTCTTCTAAAATTCTTCTAAAATTATTTCTATTTTAAAATATGTTCCTCTCATTTTTTATGATGATTAGGACCCTAATTGATTTGGGAATTTATATTTTGATTTACATCTCTCTGAGAGACATAAAATGTTGTTATGCATTTGCTATTTTTAAAAAATAATAGCTCGTAAAATAAGCTTGGCACCAGCTGTGTCACTGAACCTCCTGGATATCCCACGTGTCCTGAAACAGTTAGTTAGAACTTCCTGGATGCCAGCTCCAGCTGAGCCATCTTGGTCTGCGCTACTCCACTGGGAGCTGGTCGGTGTTTCCTAGCGAGTTCTGACACCAGCATTTCCTCTTGTATTATGAGCATCTGTGAGACTAGGCATCATTGATAATCATTTAAGACCAATAAAAAAGTGTATTTCTTTCCATTCTGCCAGGGTTATGTTCACCAATTGTAATTAGGAAATGTAATTTGGCAAACTTGTCAGTAAAAATTTCTTTTACACAAAGAATGACCAGGATTATTATCTCCGTGTAGTAAATAATTGGAGCCCTCTTGCATTATTTATAGATTTGGTCTTATTTCTAAGCACAATTAGGTCTCTTGGTAACTAGCTACCATTTACATTAAGCTTTTTCTTTTTCATTTCTTCATGATTCATTTTAGCTCTTGCCATTGTTTCATAAAACTATGGAAAAATCACTCATGTAATCACCCAATAGGCTGAACACACTCTGTATCTAATACTACCCAAACACTACTGCAGTGGATAGGCCAGGTTCACGTTGCTCAGTAATAAGGTCTAAGAGTCCCTTGGACTCTTCATTATGCATAATCCAACAGTTTCACTACACTAAGACTTTGATCAGCTTGTCCTATAACACCTAAATAAAGATTTCTGTACTTTATATACATAAAATAAAATTATAAATGAAATACATGTTTTACCTGGTAATACAGATACAATTATCTGTGTGTATGTAACCTTGGATTTGCTAGGAAACCATGTTTAGTAGGATCCATCTTTTCCATGGTTAAAATCACCCTGTTTTCAATGTCTTAAAAATGATTTTTAAGATTTATAAAGTTGAGAAACCAGATGGCTTCCTTTCCAAACATTTATAAGTTCCTCACCCAATAGCAGGAAGTTCATTTCAGAATGCATTTTTGTGTTTGAATTGTTATGTTTCCTCTAAGTTAGAATACAAGCAAGTTGAGATGTGTGATAAATTTTCAATACATTGTACAAATGATGCTGTTGTTACTTGTTTGGTTAACATTGTGTGAGTATTCATTCCAAAAGCACACTGTCAAAAATCTCAGATAAGGGTATTCAGTGCTGAGTGGGTTGCTGAGAACAGATATGGAAATTTTACGTATTTTTTTCTCCTCAACAAGCTGAAGTACTTATGATTTTATGTAGTACATGATATGGAAAGTGAGGCTTTTGATTTATGTGAGTTTTATGAGTCCATAAAAGTAAACTAATTTGTTTCTGGAATTGTATTGGTGTCGGTGGTAGTGATATTTCATTTTTTTGTGTTGTGGTGTCCATATGATCATAGTTGAAGTAATTCTGAATTAAAATTTGTGAGAGAGACCTTTAATGAAGAACCTAAGGCAATCTCACTTAATTTTTAAAAAGATTTATATTGGGGTCTGTGTTTCAGTGAGCTAAATCATATAAGTAGATAGAAGTTTCATTTCAAAGTACCTAAGTCCAGTATTTTAATTTTTAATTTTAAATTATGAACAATTCAAACTTCTTCACATTTTAGGATTCTAATATTATCGAATATCTTATTTTCCAAATTAATCATTCTTGGAGGCTCCACATGTCCTGGCTAGTAAAATGTCTAAAGCTTCCTGTAGTGTGTATCTGTTTGTCAGTTTCCCAAAGCTTGGAATGGTACAAGAGTGACTGGGGAACCAAAAGAACCTTTTGCATCCTCACCTCAAGTCTCAGCCAGAATTCCAAGTGTTCTGATTGCAGGTGAAAATACATTACCTAAAAGAGGAGTAGTTCGTAACCAGCCTGCACATTTGAATTTTCAGAGAGCTTAAAAAAGATACTATTGTCCTCTACCAGTGAAATCAGATTGAGCTTATTTACCTGAATTTTCACAGTGAAGAAGGATTGCTTGTATACTTCTTCCTGCAGCAATTGAATGAGGTTGTGTTCACCTACGTGGAACATCTTCCCTTCCTAAAAGTGACAGTTAGGTCCTTTCACACACCTCACCGCACAGCTCCGCACTACTAGTTGTTAGGTTTTAGTGCACAGATGCAGACAGCATTGTCTAACCTGGTGACCTCAGTGCCCTTACTGCAATTTACTGTCAAATTGGCAGGTTCTTTCCTTAGTTTCATGATGATGGAGTACTGAGGAAGGCTGAGATCAGGGGCCATTTCAGCCTGTGCTATAAACCTAAAAAGCAATGTAAATCAGTCTGAATGAGGCTATGTAAGGTAACCCCGTGAAATACGGAACCCTGTTTAAATGTATCATCTGTCTCCTCAAGGAATGAATGATTTTTAAAACCAATAAAGGAAATGCCAGAGGGGAAAAGGGGAATGTACCATTTGCTCTTTGTCCTTAAGACCTGTTACCTTCAAGTGATATTTTTTCTATTTTCAGTAAGTGATAAAATTATTTATTATTTTAAATATTTTGTTAGAACAATATCTTAGAATAAATACTGCAAATAAAAATCTTGACCATTTTTAGAGTGCATAGGTAATTGTGGAAATGTAAATGATATGATAAATTAAACTTGTTCAACATTTCCCTTTTTATTTCTAAATTCAGTTTGAAGCTTGTGCCTGTGAAGAACTTGTGGAAAGGGGAAAGAGCCCTCTCCATTAATCACTCCAGTTCCATCCCAGTAAGCCTACGATATAGAAAATGAAAACAATGCTTTCTATGCCACTGTCATCAGCTTTCGCATTTCTAGACACAACATCCAACACTCATAGTTTAAAGAAGATTTACTTTAGCTCGGGGTTTGGAGAAATTTGGTCCATCATGAGCTGATTCCAAGGCAGAAACATCATGGCAGAAGTGTGTGGCAAGGCAGAGCTGCACAGTTCGTGGTCACCTAGGAGCAGAGGCATCAGTGTGAGAGATGATCCGGCGAGGAACCATATATAGTACACAAAGCCACACTTCAGTGACCCAGTAAGACAGACCAAGGACCTTACTCTACAAATCTGCTTGGTGTGTTTCTAATACAATGAAGTTAGCATATCAGGATTAACAGTCGCATATGCCAATACAGTTTCTAGACAAGTTTAATAGATGTCCCCTCTCTACATCAACCTACCAATCAGTTTGCTACCACTAAGACACTTCCACATAAAAATCTAGATTGCCCAGTGTTCTAAACAACACTAGAGGTAGCTGGTGTCTCCCAGCACATGAATATTCTTTGTTTTACATAAACTGTTATCAGAATCCGTGTTTGATTTGTCTCCTAAGAAATTCATTTCCAAAGCGCCCCACATATGGCATGAATTGAAATCTTCAATAACACCTAATGCAAACTGCTAAATGCTAAGGGTGTGCAAGTGGGGAGGTACTTTTCTGCACCACAAAAAACCAATGAGGGTTATAGTATTTATTATTTTTAAAATCCTTCAAGATCAATACAGTGTCAACTGTGATTATTAAAACCACTCCTGTCAGATTTCAACTATAAATACTGAATTTAAAAGAAGGTTCCTCTATCTGAGTAAATGCTAATTTTTAAATTAGAGTAATTAGACCTTTACTTTTTTTTTTTTTTTAGCCATTACTTGTCGAAAGCAAGATGGAGGGCAGGCTGGTATTCATGAATGCCTCCAGTACTCTGGCCCTGTGCCAGCCCTCACTCAAGCTTGCCAGATCCCCTGCCAGGACGACTGTCAATTTACCAGCTGGTCCAAATTTTCTTCATGCAATGGAGACTGTGGTGCAGTTAGGACCAGAAAGCGCACTATCGTTGGTAAGAATAATTGGGTTGCATAGCACACTCTTGTCAAGATAGAAAAACACAATAAAAGTCAGATCAAGAGAGTTCTGACAATGTACTTGATAACTGCTTTCTAATTGCTGTACTTATACTGAACATGGATTTGGATGTGCATTTTAATGTAGGTTGGCAGTGATTGAAGCATTATTTTATTTTAGTACAGTAGAAAGAAAAAAACAGCCTGAATCCCTATACAAACCATGTAATACGTGACAGATTATTTTTGTTTGAATGTGTACTTTTAGGGAATTGCCTACAAACTGGGGGGTTCTTAGAGCAAAGAGGAAAGGTTAACTGTTCAGTTTCATAACCCATTGTCACTGTCACGGACTCACATTATATCCTTTACCTCCTTGAATATAGTATTAGTTCTGTATGTGAAAACTGCATCCAAGAAAGAAGTCACAATGACAAAAAAGCAGTGATATAACAAGGAAAGCAGGAACCATCATACTGAACTAAAGCTAGATGCTTTAGAAAATGCTGTGACAATTAAAACCTGAAAATATTTGGGCTAATAAACTATTCAGGATTTGAGCGTTACAAATGAACTACCTGCAAAGTGAAGATTGTCAATAGCTATAAAAGGCAGCTTATAAAAATCTGAGACAAAAACATATAATTAATTTATTACATTTTATATTTCATGCAATCTAAATAAAATAATCCTTTTCCATGCATATGTATAGCATACCCAAGATTTTTTAAGAGATTTATTTAGATTTGAATCTTTTCAAGTATTTTACTTTGATAATATAAATGTCTTCATTGAATGTATTATTGATATTTCCTAAAGTAATGACCAAATATGTCAAAAAGATTACTCCAGAAATCCTGAAAGATGCAAATTGTAGTCAGAGGTGTAAATCTGAAATTGGCATTTTCCAAATCAAAATCCTACTGTATGTAAATATATTATCTATTTGAATAAGGAAGTGCAATTTGTAGTACAGTGAAGTGACTCTTCATCTCATATTTTTACATATGTTATAAAGGAGGTTTATGAAGTCACTTCATACTCCCCATCAGTGGGAACACTTGATTATTTCAGAGGATTTCAGTCATTTTAAAGAATAAAAATGAGGATATACGACTAAGTGAAATAAATAAGTCACATGTGTGTAAACAGCAAATAGTTTCTCTGGTGTGAAAAACTATTATAGTAATAAGATCCTAATGATATAATTGACAATGTGAAATAGGAAGAAAGGGGCTAAAGGTGTAGGGGAAATGGGAAGGATAGGGAAAAAGTAATAAGGGAAAAGTAAAAAATGAGAAAATAAAAAAATTGAAATAAAATATTTGTAAATAGGGAAGGGAGGACGGGGTGAAGGGAGGGCAGGGATAAGGAGGGAAAATGAGAACCAAGACCTGTCATGTAAAGGCACAAGATCCCAATGATGAATGTAACTGTACTGTATACCTAAAATGTACCAATAACTCAATGAGAAACAAAAAAGAATAAAAATTTCAACATGCCGGTTAATCCCTTATGCAAAATAAACTACTTTTAAGTTAAAAAAAAAAAAGTAAAATTTCACTTTGTAAAGCTTCCAATTATCCTCAGCACTCTGGGAGGCTGAGGCAGAAGGACTGAAAATTCAATCCTTACTTGGTCAAATTAAGGAGTTGGTGAGACCCAGCCACACCATAAAACACAGCAAAGGGCCAGCTCAGTGTGATGGTCCTAGGTTTAGTCTCTAGTACTGAAGGCCCAATACCAGCAAAAATCTCTATAGAAAATTCTTTAAAGTGAAAAGGTAACATTTATTTATAGATTGTCATTGAATATGATTAAAAACAGAGAAAGTGAGTTTAGGAAAATAGAAAATGTAGGGATGCTTGAAGTTAATGACTTTTTTTTAAACTTTGAAGTGTTTGATATTTCTCTTCTACAGGAAAAAGTAAAAAGAAGGAAAAATGCAAAAATTCCCATTTGTACCCACTGATGGAGACTCAGTATTGTCCTTGTGACAAATACAACGCACAGCCTGTGGGGAACTGGTCGGACTGCATTTTACCAGAGGGGAAGGTGGAAGTGCTACTGGGAATGAAGGTTCAAGGAGACATTAAGGAATGTGGACAAGGACATCGTTACCAAGCAATGGCGTGCTATGATCAAAACAGCAGGCTCGTGGAAACATCCAGATGTAACAGCCATGGTAACCCAACTTTTCCTCAGTGTTTTGCATTTGCTGTCTTTGAGAGTGAAGGTAAAATATACACGTATCATGGTGGAGGGGAAATGAAAGTTTACAGAAGTGTGTTTTCAGTTGAACACGATTAGCATCACTTGCTCTATCAATTACATGTAACAGGACATTCATTGATATGGTCAAATTGTATTTTCCACAAGGGATGATAAGCAGACTTAAGTGGCTCACATGTGCCAGAAACATATGGCATGGGGGTTATCAAGAGCCTGCTCATTCAATAGACACAACAATTTCCAATTGATTTATGTACAGAAAAGGCATGAAGAGGAGGAGAGATCTGAACTCAAATAGAGATTAAAATTTTAATATAGACAGGTGCAGTGGCCCATGCCTATAATTTCAGCTAATTTTGAGACTGAGGCAGGAGTTTCACAAGTTGGAGCCCAGCATGGGCAGCTTAGTAATTCAGCAAGACTCTGTCTCAAAAATTTAAAAAATTTAAAAGGACTAGGGATGAAGCTCAGAGTCAGGACCCAGTACTAGAAAAAAAAATTTTTTTTAAGTGGACAAGCTTTGAAAGATCAAAGTTTATAATGCACCCAAAATGCTGGTAAGTGGCAGAGAAGAAAAATGGAAAGTAGTAATTGCTGAAAACCCAAGTATCTGTTTATTGCATGTAAGATTCAAAAGACAAACCCAAACCACAGAAAAATGTACATACGCTTTAAAAAACTGTGCTCACTTTATTCTCTAAACCAAAGCAGAAAATTAATATGAGGATGATAATCTCCCACTTTCTTGATAGACGTGACCAGGAAAGGTTGTTAAAATGCTAGGAGCCAGGTGCATGTCAGGTATTCCAAACCTTGTTGAAATAACTTCTGGTATTGGAATGAGATTACTCCAGCTTTATTATACAGCTCACAAAACAAGAGAAATATCTCACATTTATAAAGTATCGTGGTGACACATTTATTGCAATTTCTTAAACCTCTTCCTACAAAGTTGTTTCTAAAATAATTTGTCCCTTTCTTTTCAATCTTGTCTTATAGTTCCTGTTTTATCTAGAGATGTAAATTCCAAATTTAGACTCCACAATATTTAAGCTGTAGGTCTACCATCCGTGTAGAAAGCTGATTTGGCTGGGAGAAGGTAGTTATAGATTGCAACATGTACGGGATTCAGTGACAAAGCTCTAACACTCCACAAGAACAGTATCACTAGAATGGACAGAACATATGTAAGGAAGGTAGGAATTTTCTAAGAAATTGGCTCAGATATTAGATGGAGCAAACATATGAGTAAACACTAAGATATTCCACTGGATATTTCATAATAGATCAGGTTAATTGGCAACAAAATTGAAAGGAATTGTTCCTTATCATGACGGGTACTTGTATTTGAGAAAAGACTATGTTTAAATGAGGCAGAAAAGGCAATAAACAGAGCCTTGTAAACAAACTGAAATGGAGTCCTAATTTCTCCAAAAAGCCTTTAGAGTTGGTAGGATTTATTTAATGTTTAGTTCATTTCAGAATTAAAATTTCTCATTTGATAGCATAGAAACAGCTGATAAAGCTTTGGCGGTTATTCACTGCCGGAATCCTTTTTCCTTTAAATGGAAAAGAGGCAAAGAGTGAGGACCTGACTTTTCCTGAGGTAACTGACTGCAGATTTAAAGAGCAAGGGAAAGAAGCAGAGGATGCCTAAGGACGCACGGCTACACAGAGAAGGCAATTGCCTAGGGTCTCATTAAGGAGAGTGAATTCCAGCCCTGTTCCAGCGTGGACTCCCAGAGGTAACACGATGAGGAAGACACTAGGAAATTTTCCTGAGCTACCACTCAGATCAGGTGTGAAGGAAGGGCATCTGCCACAATGATTTAGCTCTGTGTGCTCCTGCTCCTGACACCTTAACGCTTCTCGCTACTTAATAGTGTGGTTTTCAAACTGGGCTTCACCGAGCTCCTCAGGCTAGCGGGGAAGCGATCTCCAGTATGCCCGGTGCACTTTTTCAGCTTCCCTCTCAGCTTTTGGGATGAAAGTAATTGCATTGCTTAAAATAAATTCAGCTGCCAAAATAAATTCATTATTGCAATAATACACAATTTTAAATAAATTTGTATTTTGTCTTTACAGGGTTTCTGATTGTACTATTTTACTCCTCACCTATCAGCCTTTGAGTACATACTGCCCCACTGCCATAAAGATGATGTGAAACTAGTTTCAGTGAAATAATTATGAAGTGATAATCTTGCTGATATCTGTGGAAGTTTTCTTTTCTTATATAAAATCATAAAGTTGTTTGTTATTTTTGTTGTGTTACAAAGTCTCACCATTTAGAAAGATATAGAAAGGCCTGTGTGAATCCAAGTGCAGATTCTTAGAGTGTAAAAGCCTGCAAATCCAAGAATTTTAAAGTTCTATGTTGCATTAGCTGTTATTTTTATTCCTAAAATATCTTTTCCTTCTTCAAAATGACCTTAAAATGATCAAGTAGTAAACAAAGTTTAAGAGTAAAGATATTGTTAAATGTGTGAAAAGGCCTTATATGTTAGATACAAGCTCTATCTATGGTTTCAAGAAAAACCCTAAAATTATGCTAAGAAGTTTGTGTGCACTTTAAATATCATTCTTCAAAGAAAAACCTCAAGAGGCCAGAGATTTAGCTCAGTGGTGCTGCTGCCTGCCTTGCAAGCATAAGGTCCCAAGTTCGACACCGGTACAAAAAAAAAAAAAAAAAAAAAA